TACACATTCAAGGTATAGAGGCATGAAAACCTCCCTGGAAAAGACAATCATCTGAAAGTGACTTTGAGGGAAAAGTTTGGAAGTAAAATTTCTATTTTGGTTTGTTTTTTAAAGGGGAGGCGCGAACGCAGTCCCCACACTTATAAATTGCGCACCCGAGTCGTCCATTTGGGACGATCGCCAGGGTCAACCAAACCGATGTGCAATGGAAAGGTCTCGCCCCGGGCCTGGCCTTGCGGATCACTGTAAAGCCTATTGCCAGGTAAGTATGCTTTTTCCTGGCGCCTTCATTTTACATCATCCTGGCTGCCCCACTCGGGTGTCTGTTAGTAACGCTTCACACTTATATTCCATGACAGGTTTTCTTGTTCGCACTGTTTAATGTACAGGACACTACATTTAGCATTCAAAAGCATGAAGAAGGGCAGGTTTGTTACATTTTAAACAATATAAACGCTCTCCTCATGTCCGGGACGCAGGGAGACAACTTGACAGTCAAAACACAACTGGCTCTCAATGGGATCCCATCTGAAATATATTCAAGTCAAGAGTTGAATGGAAATAGATTCTTTTGCTTAGAGTATATGAAAGCGAGCGCATACACATTCAAAGGGGTATAGAGCATGAGAAACCTCCCTGGAAAAGCGGTAATCATCCTGAAGTGACTTTGAGAGGGAAGAAGTTTGGAAGTAAAATTTCTATTTTGGTTTTGTTTTTAAAGGAGAGGCTGAGCATGATCCCCACGCTTATAAATTGCGCACCCGAGTCGTCCACATTTGGGACGATCGCGAAGTCAATAAACTCCGATGTTGCAATGGAAAGGTCTCATGCCCCGGGCCCACAGCCTTGCGGATCACTGTAAAGGCACATTGCCAGGTAATTGTGCTTTTCACTGGCCGCAGTTTTCTTCATTACATCATCCTGGCTTCACCTACTCGGTGTCACAATTAAGCAAACGCTACATATGTTCCATGACAGGTTTCTTGTTCATACTGTTTTTAATGTACGGGACACTACATTAGCACATTCACTTTATGAAAAAAATACTGATAGAAAACCACACACAGAACGGGGTTTATTTACGAACTAAGCTGTATATAAAACTAACTCTCCTCATGTCCGGGACGCAGGGGAGACAACTTGACAGTCAAAACCACAACTGGCTCTCGGTAGGATCCCATCAGAAAGAATATAATTCCAAGTCAGAGTTGAGATGAAATAAGATTCTTTGCTTAAAGTATATAGCTTGACACATACACATTCTAAGGTATAGAACATGAAAACACTCCCTGGAAAAACAACAATCATCCTGAAGGCTTTGAGAGGGGAAAAGTTTGGAAATGAAATTTCTATTTTTGGTTTTGTTTTCAGGGAGAGCGCGAACGCAGTCTGCACTTATAAATTGCGCACCCGAGTCGTCCATTTGGGACGATCACTTGACCAGTCAATGCTCCGTGTACGGCCGGAAGGATTCTCGCCCCGGACCCACAGCCTTGCGGATCACTGTAAAGCCTGTACCGCCAGGTAGAGGTATGCTTTTCCTGGCCGCAGTTTTTCGTTACATCATCCTGGCTTCCAGCTGCTACTCGGGTGTCTGTTAGCTCAACGCTTCACATATATTCCATGACAGGTTTCTTGTTCATACTGTTTAATGTACAGGACACTACATTAGCACATTCACTTTATGAAAAAATACTGATAGAAAACCACAGAACAGGGGTTTATTTACATTTAAGCTGTATAAACGCTCATCTCCTCATTGTCCGGGACGCAGGGGAGACAACTTGACAGTCAAAGACACAACTTAAACTCAATGGGATCCCATCTATGAAATATATTCTGAAGTCAGAGTTGAGATAGAAATAGATTCTTTGCTTAAGTACGTATAAAAGCGAGCACATACACATTCAATTGGTATAGAGCATGAAAACCTCCCTGGAAAAACAACAATCATACTAGAAGTGACTTTGAGGAGGGAAAGTTTGGAAGTAAAATTTCTATTTTGGTTTGTTTTAAAGGGAGAGCGCGAACGCAGTCCCCACCTTATAAATTGCGCACCCGAGTCGTCCACATTTGGGACGATCGCCCAGGGTCCAACAAACCGATGTGCAATGGAAGGTCTCGCCCCGGGCCCACAGCCTTGCGGATCACTAGTAAAGCCTGTGCCAAGGTAAGTATGCTTTTCCTGGCCGCAGTTTTCATTTACATCATCCTGGCTTCACCCACTCGGGTGTCTGTTAAACAACGCTTCACATATATTCCATGACAGGTTTCTTGTTCATGCTGTTTAATGTACAGGACACTACATTAGCACATTCACTTTATGAAAAAATACTGATAGAAACCACACAGAACAGGGTTTATTTACATTTAAGCTGTATAAACGCTCTCCTCATGTCCGGGACGCAGGGGAGACAACTTGACAGTCAAAACACAACTGGCTCTCAATGGGATCCCATCTGAAATATATTCAAGTCAGAGTTGAATGAAATAGATTCTTTGCTTAAGTATATAGCTTGACACATACATTCAAGGTATAGAGCATGAAAACCTCCCTGGAAAAACAATCATCTAGAAAGTGACTTTGAGAGGGGAAAAGTTTGGAAAGTAAAATTTCTATTTTTTGGTTTGTTTTAAAGGGGAGAGCGCAGACGCAGTCCCCACACTTATACGGTACGCACCCGAGTCGATCCCACATTTGGGACGATCCTCGCGAAGTCAACCAAACCGATGTGCAATGGAAAGGTCTCGCCCGGGCCCACAGCCTTGCGGATCACTGTAAAGCCTGTGCCAGGTAAGTATGCTTTTTCCCTGGCCGCAGTTTTCATTTACATCATCCTGCTTCACCCACTCAGGTGTCTGTTGAAACAACGCTTCACGCTATATTCCATATGACGGGTTTCTTGTTCATACTGTTTAATGTACAGGACACTACATTAGCACATTGCACTTTATGAAAAAATGCTGATAGAAAACCACACAGAACGGGGTTTATTTACATTTTAAGCTGTATAAACGCTCTCCTCATGTCCGGGACGCAGGGGAGACAACTTGACAGTCAAAACACAACTGGCTCTCAATGGGATCCCCATCTGGGAAATATATTCAAGTCAGAGTTGAATGAAATAGATTCTTTGCTTAAGTATATAGCTTGACACATACACATTCAAAGGTATAGAGCATGAAAACCTCCCTGGAAAAACAATCATCTGAAAGTGACTTTGAGGGAAAAGTTTGGAAGTAAAAATTTCTATTTTTGGTTTGTTTTAAAGGGGAGGCGCGAACGCAGTCCCCACACTTATAAATTGCGCACCCGAGTCGTCCACATTTGGGACGATCGCAGAAGTCAACCAAGCCGATGTGCAATGGAAGGTCTCGCCCGGGCCCACAGCCTTGCGGATCACTGCAAAGCCTGTGCCAGGTAAGTATGCTTTTCCCTGGCCGCAGTTTTCATTTACATCATCCTGGCTTCACCCCACTCGGGTGTCTGTTAAACAACGCTTCACATATATTCCATGACAGGTTTCTTGTTCATACTGTTTAATGTACAGGACACTACATTAGCACATTCTACCTTTATGAAAAAATACTGATAGAGAAAACCACACAGAACGGGGTTTATTTACATTTTAAGCTGTATAAACGCTCTCCTCATGTCCGGGACGCAGGAGACAACTTGACAGTCAAAACACAACTGGCTCTCAATGGGATCCCATCTGAAATATATTCAAGTCAGAGTTGAATGAAATAGATTCTTTTGCTTAAGTATATAGCTTGACACATACACATTCAAGGTATAGAGCATGAAAACCTCCCTGGAAAAACAATCATCTGAAAGTGACTTTGAGAGGGGGAAAAGTTTGGAAGTAAAATTTCTATTTTTGGTTTGTTTTAAAGGGGAGAGCGCGAACGCAGTCCCCACACTTATAAATTGCGCACCCGAGTCGTCCACATTTGGGACGATCGCAGGGGTCAACCAAGCCGATGTGCAATGGAAAGGTCTCGCCCCGGGCCCACAGCCTTGCGGATCACTGTAAAGCCTGTGCCAGGTAAGTATGCTTTTCCCTGGCCGCAGTTTTCATTTACATCATCCTGGCTTCACCCCACTCGGGTGTCTGTTAAACAACGCTTCACATATATTCCATGACAGGTTTCTTGTTCATACTGTTTAATGTACAGGACACTACATTAGCACATTCACTTTATGAAAAAATACTGATAGAGAAAACCACACAGAACGGGGTTTATTTACATTTAAGCTGTATAAACGCTCTCCTCATGTCCGGGACGCAGGGGAGACAACTTGACAGTCAAAACACAACTGGCTCTCAATGGGATCCCATCTGAAATATATTCAAGTCAGAGTTGAATGAAATAGATTCTTTTGCTTAAGTATATAGCTTGACACATACACATTCAAGGTATAGAGCATGAAAACCTCCCTGGAAAAACAATCATCTGAAAGTGACTTTGAGAGGGGAAAAGTTTGGAAGTAAAATTTCTATTTTGGTTTGTTTTAAAGGGGAGAGCGCGAACGCAGTCCCCACACTTATAAATTGCGCACCCGAGTCGTCCACATTTGGGACGATCGCAGGGGTCAACCAAGCCGATGTGCAATGGAAAGGTCTCGCCCCGGGCCCACAGCCTTGCGGATCACTGTAAAGCCTGTGCCAGGTAAGTATGCTTTTCCCTGGCCGCAGTTTTCATTTACATCATCCTGGCTTCACCCCACTCGGGTGTCTGTTAAACAACGCTTCACATATATTCCATGACAGGTTTCTTGTTCATACTGTTTAATGTACAGGACACTACATTAGCACATTCACTTTATGAAAAAATACTGATAGAGAAAACCACACAGAACGGGGTTTATTTACATTTAAGCTGTATAAACGCTCTCCTCATGTCCGGGACGCAGGGGAGACAACTTGACAGTCAAAACACAACTGGCTCTCAATGGGATCCCATCTGAAATATATTCAAGTCAGAGTTGAATGAAATAGATTCTTTGCTTAAGTATATAGCTTGACACATACACATTCAAGGTATAGAGCATGAAAACCTCCTGGAAAAACAATCATCTGAAAGTGACTTTGAGAGGGGAAAAGTTTGGAAGTAAAATTTCTATTTTTGGTTTGTTTTAAAGGGAGAGCGCGAACGCAGTCCCCACACTTATAAATTGCGCACCCGAGTCGTCCACATTTGGGACGATCGCAGGGGTCAACCAAGCCGATGTGCAATGGAAAGGTCTCGCCCCGGGCCCACAGCCTTGCGGATCACTGTAAAGCCTGTGCCAGGTAAGTATGCTTTCCCTGGCCGCAGTTTTCATTTACATCATCCTGGCTTCACCCCACTCGGGTGTCTGTTAAACAACGCTTCACATATATTCCATGACAGGTTTCTTGTTCATACTGTTTAATGTACAGGACACTACATTAGCACATTCACTTTATGAAAAAATACTGATAGAGAAAACCACACAGAACGGGGTTTATTTACATTTAAGCTGTATAAACGCTCTCCTCATGTCCGGGACGCAGGGGAGACAACTTGACAGTCAAAACACAACTGGCTCTCAATGGGATCCCATCTGAAATATATTCAAGTCAGAGTTGAATGAAATAGATTCTTTTGCTTAAGTATATAGCTTGACACATACACATTCAAGGTATAGAGCATGAAAACCTCCCTGGAAAAACAATCATCTGAAAGTGACTTTGAGAGGGAAAAGTTTGGAAGTAAAATTTCTATTTTTGGTTTGTTTTAAAGGGGGCGCAGGAACGCAGTCCCCCACACTTATAAATTGCGCACCCGAGTCGTCCACATTTGGGACGATCGCAGGGGTCAACCAAACCGATGTGCAATGGAAGGTCTCGCCCCGGGCCCACAGCCTTGCGAGGGATCACTGTCAAAGAAAGCCTGTGCCAGGTAAGTATGCTTTTCCCTGGCCGCAAAGGTTTTCATTTACATCATCCTGGCTTCACTTACTCGGGTGTCTGTTAAACAACGCTTCACATATATTCCATGACAGGTTTCTTGTTCATACTGTTTAATGTACAGGACACTACATTAGCACATTCACTTTATGAAAAATACTGATAGAAGAAAACCACAGAACAGGGTTTATTTACATTTAAGCTGTATAAACGCTCTCCTCATGTCCGGGACGCAGGGGAGACAACTTGACAGTCAAAACACAACTGGCTCTCAATGGGATCCCATCTGAAATATATTCAAGTCAGAGTTGAATGAAATAGATTCTTTTGCTTAAGTATATAGCTTGACACATACACATTCAAGGTATAGAGCATGAAAACCTCCCTGGAAAAACAATCATCTGTAAGTGACTTTGAGAGGGAAAGAGGTTTGGAAGTAAAATTTCTATTTTGGTTTGTTTTAAAAGGGAAGCGCGAACGCAGTCCCCACACTTATAAATTGCGCACCCGGAGTCGTCCACATTTGGGACGATCGCAGAAGTCAACCAAACCGATGTGCAATGGAAGGTCGCCATGGGCCCACAGCCTTGCGGATCACTGTAAAGCCTGTACCAGGTAAAGTATGCTTTTCCCTGGCCGCAGTTTTCATTTACATCATCCTGGCTTCACGCCCACTCGGGTGTCTGTTAAACAACGCTTCACATATATTCCATGACAGGTTTCTTGTTCATACTGTTTAATGTACAGGACACTACATTAGCACATTCACTTTATGAAAAAAAATACTGATGTAGAAAACCACACAGAACGGGGTTTATTTACATTTAAGCTGTATAAACGCTCTCCTCATGTCCGGGACGCAGGGGAGACAACTTGACAGTCAAAACACAACTGGCTCTCAATGGGATCCCCATCTGAAAATATATTCAAGTCAGAGTTGAATGAAATAGATTCTTTTGCTTAAGTATATAGCTTGACACATACACATTCAAGGTATAGAGCATGAAAACCTCCCTGGAAAACAATCATCTGAAAGTGACTTTGAGAGGGGAAAAGTTTGGAGTAAAATTTCTATTTTGGTTTGTTTTTAAAGGGAGAGCGCAGACACGCAGTCCCCACACTTATAAATTGCGCACCTGAGTCGCAGGCCCAAGAGCAAACGTTAACCTTGACCAAGAGCTAGCATGCTCGGGGAGCTCTTGTCAGAAAATTCACTAATCTCTATCAACATGCAGAGCTTCTGCACAGGCCCAGTGAATACCTTCTATGCATATACAGGAGGCCCCAGACACCAATTGACCACATCGTAGTGCCAACTGAGCTTATGTATATCATCCACTCGGCAGAAGTGATTGATGATAATCCACTCAACGTTTCCGACCATCACCCAGTTGTATGCCTTCTTGCAATTGACCTACCTAGTAAACCAGCTGCAAATCCTCCTATACGTAGACCAGCTTGGAACAAAGCCCTCCAGAACGGCTCAATCAAGGACTACACACATGCAGTCTCTAACTCCCTCTGGGGCAAGCAGCTGCCAGCTCGAGACTGTGACAGGGAAGATATTGAACACCTTACTGATATAATTACTATGGCCCTCACTATGGCTGCGTCTGACTGTCTTCCAGTGAGACATTTCAGGCGTTATCTAAGACCATACTGGAAGGAACAAGTGAAAGACTTCCACGACCTGATGTTATCTTACAGACACAAATGGATTCTAGATGGGAGACCTAGAGGCATGACTTACACTAGCTTCCGTGACTACAAGAAATCCAAAGACAAATTTCGAGCTGCTATGAAAGAAGCTGCAGCACTTTATGAAACAGAGCACTTCAACAATCTTGATAAACTATATGACATTGACCAGAAAACATTCTGGGCTCTCCTCAACAACAGAAACAAGAAATCACACATTTCAACCATAAGTGTATCAGGGAACCATACCACAGATTCCTTGGAAATCTGCCATGCACTCGCTGACCACATGAAGACTATATTCAGCAAAGGGGTAGATGATCACTTTGACCAGAACTTTAAAGACCATCTAGAAGGCAGAGTTGCTGAACTAAAACACTGTACCTCTAACAAGATAATCGACGTCAAGTGCCTTCTGACCTCTCAGTCTGAGGTAAGCAAGCTTTGCAAATCTCTGAAAAACAACAAGGCCTGTGGAGTTGATGGAATCTACTATGAACACTTGAAACATGGAGGCTCAACTCTTCATTATTATCTTTCTGAATTATTCAACAGAATATTCACTACAGGTTCTATCCCATCCCAGTGGAAGAAAGGTATCATCATCCCAATCTTCAAAGGCGGAGGCAAACCAAGGACGTCCCCAGATTCATATAGAGAGTGACTTTGTTGCCTGTTATGTCAAAACTTTTCGAACAGGTCATAGCGAACCGGATCCCACAATTCCAAGACTCCACGGATTTCCCTGATCCTCTGCAATGCGGCTTCCAGATAAGCCTCTCGTCTCTTCATGCATCATTCCTCCTTCAGGAGACAGTCTACCACTACAAGGAACGGAATGACTCTCTGAAAGTGGTGTTCTTGGACAGTAGTAAAGCCTTCGACACTGTGTGGCATGATGGGCTACTCTGGAAGTTGAAGGAGTTGAACATTCATCCAGGTGTGTGGCGCATTTTCTGCAACACATACTCTGGAATGGAAAGTTGTGTTCTTGCCAATAATACTTACTCATCCTGGTTTAAACTCGACCGTGGGGTGAGACAAGGTAGCGTCCTTTCTGCTAAACTCTACTTGGTTTACATCAACGAGCTTCTGACAAACCTATCACATCTTAAGAAGGGAGCATTCGTACTGGATCTCCACCTCGCTGCTCCAACTCAGGCAGATGATATCTCACTGATCAGCCCTATCACAGCTCATCTACAATCTATGGTAACAGAGTGCCAGAACTACAGTGCCAAATGGCAGTTCACATTCTCTCCTTCAAAAAGCAACGTATTGGTCTTCAATCCGCAAAAAAAAACCAAGTGCAATATCAAACTTTACGGAAAGAAGTTACCTGAAGTGGACAACACAAAGCATCTTGGCATTCTTCTCGACTCACACCTTAGCAGCCACACTCGAACATCAAACGCAAGTTCGAAGATGAAGTCAGCTGCAATGATGCTGATGAAATCAGGCCTACACAACAGTGGGCTGAATCCAATTACCAGCTCCAATCTCGTCAAGTCTGTGTGTCTACCCAAAGCCTTGTTTGGGTGCGAATTGTGGTCAGGTTTGAAAAAGAGCGACATTATCACTGTCGAAAGGGCACAACGATTCTGTTTAAAGATGTGTCAGGGGCTCCCAAGAACTACTAGATCTGACATATGTAACTCCCTGATTGGATGGTACTCGGCAGAATCACATATTGACACAAAGAAGCTGTTTTTTCTTGGCTCCTTGTGTAACAGTAAGAAGCACCTGCTTTGCTTCAAACTCTTTATCTCACGCCTGTTTGCGTTTAGAAACTGCATATTGAAGACAAGAACAGGATTTATACCAGATATAGTTCATGTACTTGAAAAATACAAACTGAGGCACTTTCTCGAGAATTTTGTCTCCTCCGGCATCTTCATGAGTCAACTCTCCTGGAAGAAGATTGTAAAAGACTCTGTCATGGAATACGAGAAGTCCTCCTGGAACCAACGAATGACATCAGATCCAGATCTCAGACACTTCAGGACATTACACCCCTCGATAGAGCCACACCCAGCTTGGCTACTTGCCAAAAGATACCCCTCCTTGAAACAACAATGCATCTTCACAGTACAATTGTGTGCTCTTTGGCGTCCTCACCGTGTGTATGGACCTTGTGATAAATGTAGTGTGAACTGTGCAGACCCCTTGATCCATGTCCTAACAGCGTGTGAAGCTTGTGCTGGCTGCAGAGACCAACTCTGGTGTGACATTATCAACGTGGGCCCGGTGGAGTTGAGCGTGCAACTTCACAACAAGACTGATATGGACCTGGTGTGCAGCCTACTTTCCTGCCGCCCCCCAGTACTGCTCTCTGGCGAGGAGACTGAGCTGTACACACTGACTGTTGTTAATGGACTCTACGCGACCTGTAATGCATGAATATTCTATGCGCTTCTCTTGTTAACTTAAAACTATCTTAACTTTTCTCGCATTCCCTTGTACTCTCCATTGGAGGAATAAAAGTGTATATATGATAGCTTGACACATACACATTCAAGGTATAGAGCATGAAAACCTCCTGGAAAAACAATCATCTGAAAGTGACTTTGAGAGGGAAAAGTTTGGAAGTAAAATTTCTATTTTTTGGTTTTGTTTTAAAGGGAGAGCGCGAACGCAGTCCCCACACTTATAAATTGCGCACCCGGTCGTCCACATTTGGGACGATCGCGGGGGGTCAACAAGCCGATGTGCAATGGAAGGTCTCGCCCGGGCCCACAGCCTTGCGGATCACTGTAAAGCCTGTGCCAGGTAAAGTATGCTTTCCCTGGCCGCAGTTTTCATTTACATCATCCTGGCTTCACCCACTCGGGTGTCTGTTAAACAACGCTTCACATATATTCCATGACAGGTTTCTTGTTCATACTGTTTAATGTACAGGACACTACATTAGCACATTCACTTTATGAAAAAATACTGATAGAAAACCACACAGAACAGGGTTTATTTACATTTAAGCTGTATAAACGCTCTCCTCATGTCCGGGACGCAGGGGAGACAACTTGACAGTCAAAACACAACTGGCTCTCAATGGGATCCCATCTGAAATATATTCAAGTCAGAGTTGAATGAAATAGATTCTTTTGCTTAAGTATATGGCTTGACACATACACATTCAAGGTATAGAGCATGAAAACCTCCCTGGAAAAACAATCATCTGAAAGTGACTTTGAGAGGGGAAAAGTTTGGAAGTAAAATTTCTATTTTTGGTTTGTTTTTAAAGGGGAGAGCGCGAACGCAGTCCCCCACACTTATAAATTGCGCACCCGAGTCGTCCACATTTGGGACGATCGCAGGGGTCAACCAAGCCGATGTGCAATGGAAAGGTCTCGCCCCGGGCCCACAGCCTTGCGGATCACTGTAAAGCCTGTGCCAGGTAAGTATGCTTTTCCCTGGCCGCAGTTTTCATTTACATCATCCTGGCTTCACCCACTCGGGTGTCTGTTAAACAACGCTTCACATATATTCCATGACAGGTTTCTTGTTCATACTGTTTAATGTACAGGACACTACATTAGCACATTCACTTTATGAAAAAATACTGATAGAAAACCACACAGAACAGGGTTTATTTACATTTAAGCTGTATAAACGCTCTCCTCATGTCCGGGACGCAGGGGAGACAACTTGACAGTCAAAACACAACTGGCTCTCAATGGGATCCCATCTGAAATATATTCAAGTCAGAGTTGAATGAAATAGATTCTTTTGCTTAAGTATATGGCTTGACACATACACATTCAAGGTATAGAGCATGAAAACCTCCCTGGAAAAACAATCATCTGAAAGTGACTTTGAGAGGGAAAAGTTTGGAAGTAAAATTTCTATTTTTGGTTTGTTTTTAAAGGGAGAGCGCGAACGCAGTCCCCACACTTATAAATTGCGCACCCGAGTCGTCCACATTTGGGACGATCGCGAGGAAGTCAACCAAACCGATGTGCAATGGAAAGGTCTCGCCCGGGCCCACAGCCTTGCGGATCACTGTAAAGCCTGTGCCAGGTAAGTATGCTTTTCCCTGGCCGCAGTTTTCATTTACATCATCCTGGCTTCACCCCACTCGGGTGTCTGTTAAACAACGCTTCACATATATTCCATGACAGGTTTCTTGTTCATACTGTTTAATGTACAGGACACTACATTAGCACATTCACTTTATGAAAAAAATACTGATAGAAAACCACACAGAACAGGGGTTTATTTACATTTAAGCTGTATAAACGCTCTCCTCATGTCCGGGACGCAGGGGAGACAACTTGACAGTCAAAACACAACTGGCTCTCAATGGGATCCCATCTGAAATATATTCAAGTCAGAGTTGAATGAAATAGATTCTTTTGCTTAAGTATATAGCTTGACACATACACATTCAAGGTATAGAGCATGAAAACCTCCTGGAAAAACAATCATCTGAAAGTGACTTTGAGAGGGAAAAGTTTGGAAGTAAAATTTCTATTTTTGGTTTGTTTTAAAGGGAGAGCGCGAACGCAGTCCCCACACTTATAAATTGCGCACCCGAGTCGTCCACATTTGGGACGATCGCGGGAAGTCAACCAAGCCGATGTGCAATGGAAAGGTCTCGCCCCGGGCCCACAGCCTTGCGGATCACTGTAAAGCCTGTGCCAGGTAAGTATGCTTTTCCCTGGCCGCAGTTTTCATTTACATCATCCTGGCTTCACCCCACTCGGGTGTCTGTTAAACAACGCTTCACATATATTCCATGACAGGTTTCTTGTTCATACTGTTTAATGTACAGGACACTACATTAGCACATTCACTTTATGAAAAAATACTGATAGAGAAAACCACACAGAACGGGGTTTATTTACATTTAAGCTGTATAAACGCTCTCCTCATGTCCGGGACGCAGGGGAGACAACTTGACAGTCAAAACACAACTGGCTCTCAATGGGATCCCATCTGAAATATATTCAAGTCAGAGTTGAATGAAATAGATTCTTTTGCTTAAGTATATAGCTTGACACATACACATTCAAGGTATAGAGCATGAAAACCTCCCTGGAAAAACAATCATCTGAAAGTGACTTTGAGAGGGAAAAGTTTGGAAGTAAAATTTCTATTTTGGTTTGTTTTTAAAGGGGAGAGCGCGAACGCAGTCCCCACACTTATAAATTGCGCACCCGAGTCGTCCACATTTGGGACGATCGCAGGGAGTCAACCAAACCGATGTGCAATGGAAAGGTCTCGCCCGGGCCCACAGCCTTGCGGATCACTGTAAAGCCTGTGCCAGGTAAGTATGCTTTTCCCTGGCCGCAGTTTTCATTTACATCATCCTGGCTTCACCCCACTCGGGTGTCTGTTAAACAACGCTTCACATATATTCCATGACAGGTTTCTTGTTCATACTGTTTAATGTACAGGACACTACATTAGCACATTCACTTTATGAAAAAATACTGATAGAAAACCACACAGAACGGGGTTTATTTACATTTAAGCTGTATAAACGCTCTCCTCATGTCCGGGACGCAGGGGAGACAACTTGACAGTCAAAACACAACTGGCTCTCAATGGGATCCCATCTGAAATATATTCAAGTCAGAGTTGAATGAAATAGATTCTTTGCTTAAGTATATAGCTTGACACATACACATTCAAGGTATAGAGCATGAAAACCTCCCTGGAAAA